CATGGCTGTAACTTTGGAAGGGCTCTAATTACTGATGAATTACCAGTCTCTTAGGCCCTGGCCCTCTAGGCAGGGATGAGCCCCAACAACTGAGGCACTCAGGTCCTCAGGCAGGGAGGAGTACCAAACAGTCCAGGGGTGCAAGCACCAAACAGACAGTCTGATGTCCTGGCTATGGCAGACAGCAGGCAAACACCAGCCTCTTAGCACATAATACAGAGCAGTATAAATAAATCATTGTCTATGAAATGTCAGTTTGTATTGACTTCATTTGTGCTTTTTATGCAGCCTGTTTAAAATTAGGCAACTATCTAGATGAATTGATGTACCCCCTCAAAGAGCTTTGAGTTCCCTCAGGGGTGTACATGGGCAGCAGATGAAGGCCCAGCTGGAAAAGGCAAACCCCAGCCCTGCCTCTGGAGCCAAGCCCTGCCCACCATCAGCCCCATCTTTTCTGGTCACCTGGAGGGCTGGGGATGTTGTGCAGCCTCAGCCCCAACCCTCCCCAGTGACCAGGAAAGCTGGGCTGCCATGACACAGTCCAAGCCCTCCCCAGTGGCCAGGGAACTTAGGCAATTTTGGGAAGGCTGTGCCTACATTACCGACTGTCCATGGGTTGCATATACCTCTGGTTGAGAACCACTGGGCTAGTGTCCATGGGCTATTTCCTACAACTCCTTCATTCTGTACCTTGGTTTCAAAGGTATTCTTCCTCTTCCTAGGGAGGAGGGTGGGTTACCTAGGGAGGTGGTGGAATCTCCATCCCTGAGGTTTTTAAGTCTTGGCTCAACAAAGCCCTGGCTGGGTTGATTTAGTTGGGATTGGTTCTGCTTTGGGCAGGGGGCTGGACTTGATGACCTCCTGCAGTCTCTTCCAGCTCTATGATTCTATCATTCCTGGGGAAGACAGCTAGTGGCAGACCCAGCACTTACTTAACACACTGATCGACTGACAGGTCTGGCAGCTCTTCCAAGTCTTCCTCAGGCCCAGGCAGGGGGCATCTGACTCCCCTGGCAGCTCCTGCCCAACCAAGCTTCAGGACCCTTTTATACTATCTGTCCTGCCCCTGTGCTTCTGGCAGGGTTGTTACCGGTGTCCTGACTCCACCCACCAGGGAGTGTCAGGGTTCCTCCACATCAATCTCAGAGGAAGACAAATATATGTTCTTAACCTCTCACTACAGCAGATATATGTTCTTAACTGTTAGGAGAAACTAAGGCAAGCAATTCACCCACTAGACAAGACTGCATTTGTAAAAGCACTAACACAGAAGCATAACAGCAAAGTCTAAGTTGTCTTTATAGTAATCCTCAACACAGCATTTATCTCATGTAGAATGAGTAATAACCCACATACAAAACATGCACTACTAAATAAAAAATGTTTCTTTCATAAAGCATTTGCTTGGGAGTATGGACTAAAATTCAGTAGGCATTTCTACAGCTTTTCTAAAACCAGTCATCCATGGTGTTAACAACTATGCTCAGGAACTGGAATACTTCTATAATAAGCCATTTAATTAGAAATCTAGAGCTGGAAGCAACCATTGGAGGGCACCACAACCCCACTGTACAAAGGTGTGTGATCAGCAGAGACAAACACCCAGTAACAAGTAATGAAGGCTTCCCCTCATCACAAGTTTTTGGGGACATGAACAGAGGTAATGAAGAACGCTCATTTAGTTCAGATAGATGCCATAGTATCAAAATCTAAATGGAGGAGAGCTATATGGTCTTGGTGGACAGAGAATTATTAGCTGCTTTTCTTAATAGCAAAGCTTAAACACAAGGGGTACATCTAGACTGGCATGATTTTGCGCAAAAACAGCCACTTTTGTGCAAAATCTTGCCACCTGTCTACACTGGCTGCGAGTATTTGCGCAAGAACACTGACTTTGTAATGTACAAAATCAGTGGTTCTTGCGCAAATACTCTGATGCTCCCGCTCAGGAATAAGCCCTCTTGCGCAAGTATTCTTGCACAAGAGGGCTAGTGTAGACAGCAACGTTAATTTCTTCCGCAAGAAAGCATCTACACTAGCACGGATGCTTTTGCACAAAAGCAAATATTTTGTGCAAAGGCACATGCCAGTCTATACGCTCTCTTGCGCAAATACTTTTAATGGAAAAACTTTTCCGTTAAAAGTATTTGCACAAAATCATGCCAGTCTAGACACAGCCAAATTGTTCTGCCTGGGATTCTGGTGATACCTTCCAGCTAGATTCTTATCTCTGAAACCAGCTTAGGTAATATACAGGTGGTTGCGCTGCTCAAGCTAGCATGATAAAACTAGCTGCGTGGATGCTGGGGTAGCAAGGACTTCCACCCTTGCCAGCTACTATCACAGTTTAGACTAGATGAGTACAACCCCATTCAAGATCTGAGCTACACAGACATATACTGCATGTCCATAATGTCATACATGCAAAACTGTACTGACTGTATAAGTAAGTAAGTCACTGACAGATTTAATTCAGTATCCATGGATGCACTGATGTAAGGAGGCTGAATGAAAATGTCCATGTATGGTGGAAGACCTGGATTGGAGCACAGCTTTTCCACCAGCCTGGCTTTAAACTCTCTGCCATGAATGTGTAGAGGGGCTATTGTCTACCAATGGGATGTTGTCAGTTCTTCTCTCCCTGGGTATATCTAGACTGCACTGCTCCTTTGGGAAATTGAAAGTAACCCAAAATAGCAATGCTGCATCTTTAAAAGTGCCTGCTATTTCCTGAAATAATGGGTGCACTACTCCAGCATCCCTGTAACACTCATTACACAAGGGTTAAGGGATTTGTCAGAATAGTGCCTTATTTTGAAATTTGGTGCTGTCTACAAAGCTCCAAATTTCAAAATAAGCTCTTTCGACCTAAACTTGGAAGCAGCTACGTAATTTGTGTAGTGTAAATTGCGTAGCTTATTCCGACAGAAGGGTGCTGTCTAGATGCACCTTAAGCATTGCCCTACAGGCTCAGGAGTCTGGGTGCCAAGCTCTTTGGTTATAAAATGAGTCTCACCCAAGAACATGGAGACAGTTTATACATGTTTTGTAGGGCTACAGTTAATGCCAGCACTGTGGATATTATTCTTAGCTGACCATTACATTAGAAGTATTGCCAACCTGAAATGTTCGAGAACCATGACTCGGGCCCTAGCATATCATGAGACTTCAAAACAAGGTTCTTTTTATTCTTCTTTGGTGCTGGCCCATTCAGGATTCATGTTTCCAAGCTTTTCCCTGCAACCAGAAGGGCAAAAACCTTTTTTAATTGAAGATGAGATTCTCTGGGATTAACTTGGTTCCAGCAGCTGGCACTTTAAGAAAAAGACCAATTATAACAAAATTCTTGATACAATTGTTGGCAACAATGGTGCTCACTGCTCAGCTGATTCAGTTAACCACCTTCTCTGCCATGATGGTGACAGAAATTACTACATGCATTTCCTCTAGTGGGAACTCCCACTCCAATGCTCAGGACTTCCTTGATGCAGGAACAGTCCCACCCTGTCCAATACAAAATGCTCAGCCCTGTTAAGTTTTTAGAACACTGTATTTGAGCAGTAAAGGCATGCTTTCAAGGAAGCCTGGCCATTAATCGCATCATATGCCTCCACTTGCCTTGTCTCTTAGTTAACATTCAGTTGAAAATATAGTGGGTGATGTTGTTACAGTTCCCTATGAGCAACTTAAAAGAGAAACATATACATTAAGGAAGGGAAGTTGTTATGAATGCATCCAGCCTGTCTGACCTGAATTCAGATCCTGCATAGGTCCCCAAGGAAAGTGAGATCTGGAGTGCTTGCAGTGCCAGCATGTAAAATAGACATCTGGAATTTTTTGGTGAGATTTCTAAAGATGGGTTGGAAGAGAGCCACGCAACACATGGGACAGCTGGTGAAAAGACGCTGAATCCAGTGCCAGCAAACAAATACCTCTTCTCTGCTGCTGCTGATACAGTCATTGTTCCTCGCAGCCAGATGTTCTCTGAAAACGCCAAACGTAACTACAGGGTGAAATCCTGATTTTATGTTTCTCCACAATTTAGATTTTTTTTGGTAGCAGAGTAAGTCTTTGAGGACCCTGGTTAGATTTTGTGCTGAGAGGTACACAAACAATGACATATTTCTAGGATGGGGGAGCCTGATTGCCCAGCTTCCCCTACACTTGCTTCATTTGCCGGTGGGCTACATTGCAGCTCACAGCTATATGAACACTCCCTGTCCTACCCCAGTGGAAGCTGCGAAGAGGAACAATATAGGGCCATGTCCACTGGCCCTATCCAGCAGCTACATAGCAGGAATTCTCCTCCAGATGGTTGTTGTGCCTCTATAGCTCCCTATATGGACTGAGTGATGAATCTGAAGCTACTGCCTCCATCCCTGAAGTTTGGGAATAAATGCTAAAAGTCATCTCAGTTTACTCCATCATAGAACTCAGGTAGTCCAGTGCTGGATCAGGCCTCGGGAGCAAAAGCACAGAGATTTGGGGGGGCTCTTGTGAAGCAACGTATCAAGGATCCACTGTGTAAAGCTAGACATACCGGCAGCCCTCAACAAGCGGTAAAGAAGGTGCTCTTTTTTTTAGCACCTGATATTGGATTACACATGGTTTTCCCCATACACCGTAAATGTCTTTGCTTTTGTTTTCTCATACAGTTTTGTGCACTTTTAGTATAATCCCTATCAGCTTTTCAGCTAGTTGCGTGCATGTTTGCAAACACCTAATTTAAACACGCAAGCACCTGATATGTGCACAATTCAAATACTTGAATGTGCACGTGACCAGCTAGACATTTAACAGTCTATGTGTCTGCCCGGGTACATGATTTGCCTATGCCCACTAGAGACACATGGGCAAAAGTTAGGCCTGTTCATAGGCATACAGCATATTAAATTGTTTCATAAAACACCGTTATAATCTGCATTGAGTTTTTAGATTACCAGAGATTTCACTACTTGGAAAATGGCTCTTTTGCCATAAACATGACTCATGCTAGCAGTTTATGGATGGCTTTTCTCTTCAGTTTTATTTAATAACATAAAATGTACATATATAATGAGAAAATAAATGCAACACAAGACATTAAAAGTCTTGCCTCAAATATTAGATAACTTTGAACATAACAATGTGGCAGCTTAAAGGGTGCTTACCAACAAATATAACAAAGAAATTTCAAGAAGAAAGACCTCTGAAGCACATGCTATGTGGTTTATATCTAAGCTTTTCCACTTTTTTCCCTAGCAATCACTTCCTCTCGACAAATTCTTATTTAGAAGTAAAAGTATTATTTTACAAACATCTGAGAGAGAGAGAGAGAGAGAGAGAGAGAGAGAGAGAGAGAAAGAAAGAAAGAAAGAAAGAAAGAAAGAAAGAAAGAAAGAAAGAGCCTTGGGTTTTCAGGTTATATCCATCAGATTTTCTTGGTATCCATCTGATGATGACCCAGCCACATACCAGTACTATTCACAGAAGAAGTCAATGGCCTGAAAGACAGTCATTAGAAAAATGAGCAGAGGCTTTTAGACATTGTTATACCAAATAAGTACTAGGTACAAACTGAATCAAAGTGCAAAATACATTTTAAAAGGTAAGAAAGGAGAAACAAATGTTAAATAACTAATTCTACTGTATTTTTAAAAGTTGGGATGTTGATGCAGCTCCTTACCCCTGTTCTCCTCCTCCTCACCAGCTGAATCTGGGAGCAAAGCCCTGGTGTATGAGGCCAGTAGCCTGGACCCAGGGCACAGGACTGGCAACAGAGCCCCCAGGACATGGGGATGAAGCAGAGCCCCACAGTGTACAAGGCCAGCAGTCAGGACCTCAGGCCTGGAGCTAGCAGCAGAACCCTGGACATGCTCCTGGATGAGGAGCCTGCAGCAGTGCACCTGGAGTGTGGGGCAGCAGCTGGATCCCTGGGTGCAGGGCTGGTAGCAAAGCCTGTGGCGTGCAAGGAGGCAGCTGGGATTTTGGGCACTAGACCAGGAGCTCAGGGGTGCTGCAGCAACCCCACACACATCTCTCATTCCTAAGCCTATGTGTATAAACCACGGAACTCTTCTCAGAAAAGTAGAACAGAAATTTGGAGAAGTCTTTTCTACTTCATTGCTGATCACATACCATCAGGGTTAAACACAGCCCTATATATTTGGAGTAACTTGCCCCATAGCTCTGACTTTAAAAATTATTTAGGCAATAATAAGTTTCTTTGCACATTAGATTGCTTAAATCAGTGGTTCCGAAAAGTGGGGTCCTCTGAATGTCTGCTGTTATTTATGGGGGTGTCTGTCCCTTGAGTCAGGGCTGGGACACACTGGATCAGCATTCCACCACTTTTGCTGCATGGAGGATGGAAAGGCATCCTTTGCACAGCATTACATTGCATGCCTGATGCACAAGGGGTCATAGTAGTCTAAGGGCATTCCCTCCCTGGCCAGGGAGCCAGGGCATTCTGGTAGCACTAGACATTAAAAGGGACCAGGGCACACAGTAAGATGTGAAAACAGTCCCTGGGGGAAAACATTTGGGAACCACTGACTTTAATCATCAGGTCCCCCTCAGCCTCTCTTTTTATCTGTATCCCCACACTCACACATGGAAAGGCTGTTCCAAATGGATCTAGAAAACCTTATTAATCTGTAATAGAGAAAACTACTTATCATCTTTGGAAGACAAATACCAAGATTTCATTTGAAAGCCAAACTCCCTTCTTTGCATGGTGTCAAGTATCAGAGGGATAGCCATTTTAGTCTGGATCTGCAAAAGCGACAAGGAGTCCTGTAGCACCTTATAGACTAACAGATGTATTGGAGCATAAGCTTTCTTGGACTAAGACCCACTTCATCAGATGCATGTAGTGGAAATATCCAGAGGCAGGTATAAATATGCAGGCCAGAATCAGGCTAGAGATGACGAGGTTAATTCAATCAGGGAGGATGAGGCCCACTTCTAGCAGCTGATCTGGAGGTGTGAATAGCAAGAGAGAAGCTGCTTTTGTAGTTAGCTAGCCATTCACAGTCTTTGTTTAATCCTGAGCTGATGGTGTCAAACTAATGGATATTAGGAAATTAGGAATGGATATTAGGAATGGCAATGTACAAAAATCTGTAGGAGAACACTTCAGTCTCCTTGGACACACAATAGCAGATCTAAAGGTAGCCATCCTGCAGCAAAAAAACTTCAAGACCAGACTTCAAAGAGAAACTGCTGAGCTACAGTTCATCTGCAAGTTTGACACCATCAGCTCAGGATTAAAAGGAAGCCTGGACTGCTTTGTCTAATATGGAACTGAATTGTGAACGAGTGAATTTTCATACAGAGATGTAGCCTCTTCCTTTTCCCACTGGAGCAAAAGCAGAACTCAAGCTCCTATCACAAGGAGACTGAAGCATGTGGTCATTACAGGAATTCTCTATAAAAGAGACAAATCCCTATTTGTTGTGTAAATAATTAACAGAGACTACAGTATCGGATGCTCATGAATATACGGCATGATCCTTCCACTCTGTAGGACCAATAAAACCTGCTATACACTGCAAATGGAATCTTGTGTGCAATGCAAGTCTTTCAGTTGACTCAGCTGGGGACAGGATGACATGAAGCTCTCAACAGCGCTCACATGGTAACAAGATCAAGACCTAAATTATTAATTCCGTGGGGTTCCTTGACAAAGTAAGGGAAACAGGATCAGGTCCAAGGCTTGTGTGTATGGCTCAGCACTATCACAGTCAGCAGGTCTTTGGGATGGTGTAGTGTATAGCTATGGTCTGCTTTTATAGCAAATTAGCATTACACAATTGAGTAACTTCCCAGCCTTTTGCAGACTCCTTACCGTTGTAGGGATTGTCTTATTAGCTTCTTGATAAACATGCTGCTCTGTGACTAAACTGCTAGGGAAATAGCCAACAGTTCCCATCTGGTCTTCATACTGCTCACCATACACCTTAGAACAAGAAAAACTAAAATTAGATGCCCAAATCCAGTTTAAACTAGTTCAAGTTTTTATCAAAAGCAGCAATCTTATTCTCTCTCACTTCAGTCTTGTGGACTTTGGATTTGCATGCTACTTAATTAACTAGGACAAGATTTTTTTTCAAAAGGAAGCATGACTATAAGCCAGAATGTGGACACACATGATTCCTTAAGTTATATTTAGGATACATTGCTTGTAAGATCTTCCATATAAAAGTGGAGTGGCAGTTTTATTTTCCATTAAATGAAAGGGTGAAGTGAAGATGTAATGATCCATTGTCAACAAAATATCTCTTCTCAGATTTAGGTTGCTGTAAAATGTTCACCCCTGATTTTTTTCAATAAACGGCAGCAGAAGAAGAGAGTTGGATTTTACTTTGATGATTTCAGTGCATTTAGTTCCATTATGTTATTATCTACACTTTTAATGTTATACATTCTCTCAATATGAGAGAGATTCTGATCGATGTTTGTGAAGTTTGGATTTGAGAGTTTTGTATATTCACTTTTAAAAAAATCTCAGATGTAATCTTTGAAAAAGCCACGGGATTTATTTTTGCTGTTAAAATCTGCTTTTTATAAAGCAGATATTGACCCAAAAAAAACCCATTACTAGTTAACTAGAGGCAGATTAGCGCTTGTAGAAGAAGAATTTCATCTTACACTTCCAGCCCAGAATTCTCCAGAGTATCTCTCTTTCACTAGTTTTGAATAAACATAAATCAACTGCCCTTTTTTAATATTAAGGAACCTGCAATCTGGTGCATTGTAATCATCTTCTGCTCTGGCAAGGGAAATGGTGTCTGCAAAGGGAAAAAAAGGAAGTAGATAAGAGTACAGCATATATTAGACTCTCTCTGCACATGAAACTAGGCAACGTTCAAAATTATCAGAGAAGAGCCTGCTAGATTTAATCTTACACAGTTTGCAGTTTATACTAAAAAAGGTAAAATCAGAGACTGTCACTTTATCAACATCTTAACTGCAATGGTGTTCTCAGAAAAATGTTTTTAACGACACCTGCCTTTGATTATAATGGATTATGAAACACAATCTTTAAAAAAGCATCATGTGGATTATAAATTAATTGTACATGTGGTTTTGCCACATTCGAATTTTTTTACAGGTACAAACAGACCAATTTAATACAGCAAATTAACAAGCAGCGTGTTTGTACATTTCAAACCAGAAACTGCTTTGTACAAAAAAAACATTTAGTTTTGATCATATGCTCTAGTAATGTTTAAACAGAAATACTTACAAACACACTCCTCATCAGCACAGAGCTTTTTGCTGGCAAGTTTGTCCATAAAAATTCCAGTCACACCAGGATAAGTAACTCCAAGGCATAAAAGTAGTATAACCAAATCAGTAGTTAGTATCATTTTTCTATCAGTGTTCTTCTTTGCTAGGACTTCTCTCTCAAATGCTTGTCGAGTCTGGTAATACTTATCTTTTATGGAAAAGCTAGACATCTGGACAAACATCCTGACCAATGGGAAGAGATTAGGTTAACATTCCATTACTTTAAGAGGAACCACAGAGCTCCAGGGGACCCTCAGGTTTTATTTACTCAATACAATCCCTTTCCAAAGCCTTTTTGTACCATGCCTTCAGTAAACTGCTGTTTTACAGAGACATTCTATACTTTCCTGTGGGCTTCCATTAAATGTAATAGCCTCAACATTACCTCAGGCAATATTTTTCTGAAAATGAAAAAAAAGTCAATCCCCGTTCAGCAGCAAAAGAAATAACATCCCTTCATGTCCATAAATCCTTGATTCTCATGAAATGTCCAAAGACCATAAAGTCAGAGTTTTCTGGGGCAGATGGTCTTTGTGTTGTGTTTCTACAGGGCTCTTAGGCACTAATGCAAATATAAATAAACCTAGTCAATGTCACAAGTTCTCAGTGAAAGGCTTTGTGCATTGGCAAATTAAATTTGAAATCTGGGTAATTCACATTCAGAGTGTGGACAAAGCTTTAATTTTATTGCATGAGCCAGTTAAAAAGCAAACATACTTAACCACCATTGCCCAAATAAACTCCATTGCATCCAAGTCTACATAACTACAGTGCTGTGCCATCTATGCATGTCTGAAAAACAATTTTTACAAGCACAAGAAAGCCCTGAATGTGACCTGCTCAATGATTCCATCCAGCCCCCAAACATGCAACAGCATCCTCACCACAGCATAACCTTGTACCTACCACGTGTGCAGTCACATCTTGAGTGCAAGTGTAGAATCAGTCGCTCACTGAAAATCTCACAGCACACTGTTACATAACTGGGCTCTCCCTGGGAAAGCTGTGCACTCAAGGCACTGAACTACATCTGATGTAAGAGGCTAATTTGTAAGTATCTCCTTGAAGAAATCATTTTAAAGGTCAGTATGTTCAAAATCCAGAATGTAACACAGGAAGAAAACAGAGATAATAAAGACAACAGTGGCTTTCAGTCATACCACCTACTACTGTAATCCCTGCCATTCCCACAAGTAACAGAAGGCTAGGCCAGCTCCAGGCCTGCCAATGGGGATAGGCGCAAAATGTGGGGGGGCAATTGCCCTGGTGCCTAGAGATTCAAAGGAGCCTGGGACACTGTCCTTTAAATTGCTGCTGGAGCACTGTGCCAGACAGCATGTAAGGCCGTGGGAGGGCACAACGCTCTGGGCAGAGATGAGGGCCAGCTGCTCTTGGCCCCACCCTTTCTGGGAATGTGGAGCCAGGCCCACACACACACCTTGCCGAGGGAGGCTGTTGACCCCGGTGGTCAGCTCAGTTCTTGTAGGGGTATCACTGACCCAGGTACACCTGATAGTTTGGCAAGTGATTACATGGCACTCTTGTGAGAGCCAGTACTGAATCAATGCCTATTTGGGGGTGGGGCACATGGTAATAAACATGCCATTTTTCAGGTAAGGAGCAAAACAACGACTGTCAGCTAGTTATTATAAATCCCATGGGATTCTTCATTAAATAGGGAAGTCAACATGATCTCCTTGAAGTGCAAATGTAGCTGTCTCAATATCAAAGTCACAAGGTGGGGGAGGTAATATCTGTCACTGGACCAGCTTCTGTAAGTGAGAGCGAGCTTTTGAGCCACACACAAAACTTTTCACTCTCACCTATAGAGGTCAATTCAAAAAATGATATTACTTAACCCAACTGGTCTAACACTGTGTCCTCAGTGTAATCCAATGGGGTTCATTACATTCATTCTGATCTTCCAAGCCTATCGTCTTGTTCTCCATTTCAACATGAATTTGACATTTAGCTGTTCTTTGTCATAGCTCAGCACACTCCCTCCCAAATTAATGATGTACAATGAATTGGTCTAAAGACTAAAACATATGGGAGACTCCATTACATGCATTGAAAAGGTGCTGGAATCCCTAGTTCAGAATTAGGGAACCTACATAAATGTTCTTCCACTCTTTAAAAAAAAACGATGCCCCAAGAAACAACAAAAGTTACTCAGATGTATGTGACAAATATGCAGTGTACCAGTTGTCTGAGGGCAGTGATTGCCAAATGGGACTTTAGCAAGTGTGACAATATATGTCTCATATATTTATAGAAATGTTTTGAATATAAATATTTATAAGTCAAATATCCTTTACGCAAAACAAGTCAAGCAACCTATCATTCTAGAGCCCGTGATCCCTGAATGTGTATACTCTATTTGTGTGCATGTGTCATTCTTGTATGTGACATTGGAAATATAAAGTGTAAAACTACTTATTAATCTAGAATTTCTAGTGAAAGCCATTAGTAGAACATAAGGGACTTAATGGCCCAGTGCTCAAGACAATTATCTGTAAATTTTTTTTGTTTTTCCTGTAAGCTGAAACTGGTTGAGCCTACAAATACCTATGACCATGTCACCTGGTGCTGGAATCCATCTTGAATTTGGTATTTTTCCATGGGGATAGGGACAGTTAAACAAAGGATTTCCACCCTGGGGAAATTCTATTTAAGGAAGGGGAAGCAATCAACATAATCTTCAGATGGCTTATGAAACTGCCTGACCCACCCTAAGAGGATATATATGAAGAAACATGAAAACAAAGAACTCTAAGGACACACAAAGCTGTTAGACACCCATGTCAGAGTAAAGATCAGCTCTGTCTTGAAGGATTTTACTTGGAATAAGGACTACAGTGCAGGTGCATCTACACTGCACTGTTTTTCTGGAATAATGGCTGTTATTCCAGAAAAACAATACCAGTGTCCACACAGCAATTGCATTATTTTAAAAGAAAATCAAAATAACAGAGGTTTTTTTCCGACTTTGGTAAACCTCATTCCACGAGGAATAACGCCTCTTCTGAAAAAGCTCTTTTGGAAGAGAGTGTGTGTGGACACTCCACTGCTGCTATATCAAAATAGCTCCTCACCAGGACCATCCTAAAGTTATTCCTCACCAGTGCCTCCTGGGGCTCTAAATCAAGATAGCGCATCCGCATTAGGGGAGCCTGCCTCGTACTAATTTTGAGGCTTCCCTGTAGTGTGGTCTATTTCTAAAGAAGCTATTCCAAAAGATATCTTCTGGAATAGCTTTTTCTAAAATAAGCTTGCAGTGTAGATGTACCCTGAGAAATACATTTGTAACAATTTCTTAGGCCTGGTATACACTACCAAGCCTGTTATTCCCGAATAACGGGCCGCAGAATTCAAACTCTGTACTCCTGCTTTCCATCAGGAATAATGCTAATTCTGAACTGGTAAATTCAAAATAATGTTAGTGTAGATGCTCCGGTGCCGCTAATTCAAACTAATTGGCCTTGAGGAGGCCTCCCGCAGCTCCCCAGAATGCTTCCTGGGGCTCATTAATGGAGCATGCCTCGGACTAATTTCAACACTTCCCCTTAATGAGGACATGCAAGTTCAAATTTGTTAAACTGGGAGTTCTTCGAGGAATGTCCCTGTGGGTGTTCCATCTTAGGTGTTTTGGCACCGCAGCACACCTTGAAGGAAGATTTTATGAGCAGTGGCTTTGACAGCTAGCTCGCACATACGCAAAAGCTCTATGCACGCCAAGCAGTTAACACATTTGCACGAGGTACAATCTCCTCAGTTCCTTTTCTGCCGCTGCCGGCATCACTCAGAACCTACAATGCGCTCTGCAGATTTTTCCTCAGAGAGACAGCTAGTCTTAGTTTTTCTTTTCCTTTACTTAGTTAGCCTTTTTTATTATATTTTTACCATAATCTTTATGATTAAGAAAGAAAGAAAGAAAGAAAGAAAGAAAGAAAGAAAGAAAGAAAGAAAGAAAGAAAGAAAGAAAGAGGACTCCTCTCCTGCATGGAGGAGTTTCTTTCCTGCAGCTTTTGCCTCAGCCTCCTCACATACGGCTGCGAGATATATTTTCACAGATTTAAACAAATTTTCTCTCAAACAATCTTTTGCGCAGCATTCTACCAAACAGAGGCTCTGTTTTAAATGCTGTTTTTTCCTCACGGGCTGTCAATCTCACTGTCAGACTAGCACTCTCAGTGCATATATTGTCTGGACAAATACAGCACAGTTCACTGTCATCAGTTTGACCCATCTTCAGCTCCATTATTCGCGGTCCTGCAACACATAACCAAACTCAAAAACTCAGGACTTTCACTCAGTTCCCTGAAGATTCACCTCTCTACCATAACCATTTTACACCAGCCAATAGACAGTAAGTCGCTATTTACACATCCCACGACCAAAAGGTCCCTCAAAGGATTGCAGAACATTTATTCACCAATCAAACCTCTGGCTCCAGCCTGGGACCTCAATTTGGTTTTGAGGACCTTAACTCGTAAATCATTTGAACCTATGATGACCTGCTCTATGCTTCACCTTTCCATGAACGTGGCTATACTATTGGCAATAACATCTGCCAGGAGAGTTAGCGAAATTGTGGTTCTCATGGCAGATCCACCTTTCTCCACCTTCCATAAGGACAAGGTAATCCTCTGACCTCACCCTAGGTTCCTGCTAAAGGTGCCCTTTCCTTTCCACAGTACCGAACCTAATAACTTACCAATCTTTTTTCCCAAACCTCTCGCCAACCAGATGGAGGCTACACTCCATACTCTTGATTTACGGAGGGTCATTGCATTCTACCTGGAAAGAACCAATCAAATTTGGAAAACCAACAGGTTATTCATATCAACCACCAAATGATCCCAGGGATCCCTATCTCCTCCCAGAGGATCTCAAAATGGATAGTTGAATGCATAAGAATAGCATATTCAACCTTTGGTAAAGAACCACCTGCACAACTTCGTGCACATACAACCAGGGCCATGGCAGCATCAACAGCCTATGTACACGGCATCTCCCTGTCTGATATATGCAAATCGACCACATTGTCGTCTACCCATACAGTTGTTGCTTACTATGCTCTGGACTCCTACATGTCCAGAGGAATTGCATTTGGACATACCATCCTTACCATGATCCAAAAGGACAATTCACCATCCAAAGCTCCCACCTCCAGTGGATAGACTGCTTGTGGTCA